ACATATGAACTAGCCTCGGGGACTAAGAAAATATATATCTATTGTCTGAAACATTTACTCTACTATGGCATTTTGTTGCAGCAGCTTGAGTAATTTGGTACTCTTTTTTTCAGGTTTTAAGAAAAGCTGTGTAAATTTAGTACTCTCTTTTTTAAAGTCTAATATAATTATCAGCAGAAAATATTCTGGGATATCACTTTTGTGTAATTAGAAATTATGAATTGAAGTTCCTTAATAGTTATACAAGCATCCCGAGTTTCTATTTATGTGGTTTGGTTAGTGGTAACTAATAAGGTCACACAGCAGATGTATTGCAGAAAAGGTCTTTTATTATTACGCTTGAGATAGCAGTTCATTTACATTATTTGTTTAAATTATGTGTTTAAGATTGTTCACAGTAGTCTCTTATCATGCCTTTGAAGTCTACAAGGGCTATAGTTATGTTTTCTATTTCATTCTCTTCATGTCTACCAAAAATTCTGAGGAGTTAGTCAAAATAGTTAAGCATTTTAAACCTTTCTTTTAATCATTTCCTTGATAGTCATTTTCGCCTCATTTCATTACTGCTTCACTCTTTATTATATCCTTCTGCTTGCATTGTGTTATTATTGCCTTTATTTAAATGAGAATTTAAGATTGTTCATGACCTTTACTTTGGGCAGTGATTTAGATATTACCTATTTATTTTGATAGTTTATATTTTCACATTTACCCTTTCTATGCACTATTTTCAACCCTTTGAGATTTTTCTCATCCATGAAACATTTAGCGTGTTCTTTAGTATTTGAAACTTTTCCTTTAAAATTTGTTATTATTTTCTTATTTAATTCCTTTAATTTTGTAAAATATCATAAGAACTTAATATAAAATATGATTTTAGATTGTTTTCCAAGCTAGTATATATGTATTTTTGTGAATGTTCCACTTGAACTAGAAATATATTGCCTACTTAAAGTCTTAAGTATTCTACCTACACCAAGAACCAAATCAAATGATAATTTGTGCTTCAATTTGACAACTTCATACATGAATATTAGAACTTTGGTTTTGCTTCATGTTGCACCACTTTCACGTAACAACTCAAACTGAATCTCTCTCTGCATCAGTTTTTTTCTGATTTTAGTATCTTTGTGTGGATTTATTTCTACACATATTATTTTCATTCATTCAGTTTCTTGAATTTCTACTCATGGGAAGATCATTGTTTCTTGAGGGCAAAGAATAGTTCTGCTACCCACTCTTTCAGTCTTTTTGCTGAAGACTGGATATGAAAACCCAGCATTCTACTGATACCGGGGATGATTGAAACTAAAATGCTGATAGTTTACTTTGTCAGTGCTTTGTTAAGTATCATTGATACAAGGTTGAGTGGAAGTTCAGATTCCTAGTGAGTCTTCCTGTCACAGTTGAACGGAAAGAAGGTAACACATTTGGGTGATAAACCATTCTCAAGAGGTCTTTGTAAGACCATCTCTTGATTAAGTGTCAGTGAAGGCTTAGCTCAACATTAAGGTCCATACTGACCTTAACCCTGCCAAAGAATGAGACTATAACATTAGTTTCTGCATCTGAGACAATGAGCTAACAGTTTCCAATTTGGATCCATAATAGTAATATGTGTGTGACAAATGATACAGGGTAAAGACTCTTTTGGTGTCTTGCTGGAGTAAGATATATATTGTCATCAAAGGTTGTCTATTGCTAGACTTCCAATTGCCTGGACCCATTGCCTAGAAGAAAAAACAGGTTTTCTTAGAGATTTTATCAGTTGCACTCATGGAAGTTTCTGGGTCAGAGGCTTCTGCAGCTTTCTACACAGGGTTTACGTGACGCAGTAAGGGCAGAGGGGAATTTGCTGCCTTATCTTTTTAATTACAAGGTTCAGTATCTACGCAATACTCCCCTATCACTTACAGATTCCCATCATCTGTCAGTTGTGCTGTGTAGAGGGTTTTTGTTATAACATATTTTTGGTTTTGCTTTAAGAGAGAAGATCTAAGAGCTTCCATTCCAATATTTAATTGTTTTTGACTTATATATATTTTGACTTTCTGCAAGCCTGGGGTATTGAGATTGAATTTCACAAAATCAAGTGTGCTGAATCTTCCTCTCCTTTCCCCAATAGAATGTAGGGCTTAAAAGAAAAAAGGATGATTTCTGTTCAATCTAAACAAGTTAACTTTACATGTTTAATGTCATTCCAGATGTTATAATGCAATATTCTCATTTAGCATAATCACTGTAGAGGCAGAAAGTCAAAATGTATAATTTAAAATATTCCTTCTTCTGTCTATGGGATTTTTATTAGACTTTTAGAGATGCATGGTCTTAAGAAAAGACAGATGAGCTTTTTATTTCTTCCTGTGTTATGTGTATACTTCCATTGTTTGTTTCCCTACATGAGCACAGAATGAGCTGTAATACTACTTGATAGTCTAGAAAAATGCTGCTCTGGAAGGGCATTACTGCTGATCATAGACTAAGTCTGAGAGTCCATAATCATGTCTTATAATGCTTCTACTCCTGGCATTCAACTTTTACATACATGTCATTCCAAAGTCCAAACATTTTTGTTGCTGCAAGTTAGCCTTTTGAAATCTCTGTCATTCTAAGAATTTTTCGGTCATTTGACCAACACCCAAGAATTGAATAAGAACATGAAACCTGGATTCAGCCTACTTCAGTTCACTTAACAATTCATTGGTTTCTGAGAAAATCAGGATCTTTCTAAATCTCAGTTTCCTGACCTATACAATGGGGATTATAGGAGGTGTTTAAACAGGATAGGAATTATAAAAGTCTTATAACAATGACTGATCATATGGTAGTTTTGCAAAGTATAAGATAATAGTAATTTATAACATATTCTGTATACTTAATACTCTGCAAGTATAATTCCCTTACCTATATCACAATAATCCATCTTGTTTGTCAAGTCTTTCCCAGTACTCACATGGAAAGCTTCCAATTTGGGAGCAACACTGTGACATACTGTAGAGAGCTATCTCCTAAATGTAAGACTTCCTGCTTCCACCTGAGAGAAAAGAGCATACATCAGTGTTTCTCAAAGTATGTTCCAAGTCGCCAGGCAGTAGTGGCACACACCTTTAATCCCAGAACTTGGGAAGCATAGGCAGGCAGATCTCTGTGAGTTCGAGGCCAGCCTGGTCTCCAAGAGCTAGTTCCAGAACAGGCACCAAAGCTAAGAAACCCTGTCTCGAAACAAAACAAAACAAAACAAAAACAACAACAACAACAACAAAAAGAATGTTCCAAGTCACCTGCATCAAAATTTATCTAGGGATCCATCTAAGGTGGGGTGCCAACTTATGAAATTACTCCTGTCATCTTGATGAACATTAAAATCCAGGAGTTACTCATATACACAAGTTGTACCTGTTCATATAGCTCATTTATTTCTGAAATGTTTATTCATCTCATATGTAACAGTGGAACAAACTGAGTCTCCGAATCTCCTCCATGTGGCACTATCTATAGTTTCTCATTGAACAGACCAACCTATTTCACCTCTTATTTCGTCATAAAATGGATAACATAGAAAAGGGTCAGAAATCTGAGACTGGAGTGTGTTAGGGAGTACAAATATGAGACAGATTAACGGAAATGATGGGAAAGAAGAACACATGGCTTGTACATGGAATTTACACCTGAAGTGAAAGTGCAAAAAGTAGTAGAAATAAAATTAGCAAATTGTTTTGGGGTATTTGGGGGAGGGAACACTATGAAATAGTTCTTAAACCGCATGATTAATCAGAAAAGTGAATTCATGGCTCCCATTCTCAACAAACTACATTTTATGAAGGGGAAATAAGATATTTAGAGTCAGTATTACGCAAGAGCCTCTATGCAATGCATCCCTAATTAATTAAAGTCACACTTGACTTAACTACCAAGTATATGTCTGTCATGAGATGTGAGATTTGAAGCAAAAACAAACAACAATCACAATAAAATAAAAACACGATATGAAATTTTCCTTTCTGACTCCTTAGCTTCTATGAGCTAGACCACTATAGTTCTTCCCTTTGTGTTCAAATGCTTACTTTCTTCTGGAATATTCTCTGTCTCCGTATGTCCTTAAAATCCTGACCATCCTTTGTATTCCTAACTCAAAGATTCAATGTTTTCTAAGGTCATGTACCTCTTAAACTAATGATGGGAACTTGTATCCCCAGCTCCTCACTTGCAGTTTTCTACCCCACTTCCTTAGTTCTCTGAGCTACAAGAGATGATGGTATCTCCAAAATACCCAACCTCACTTCTTCCTAGCCAATTAGCACAACCCACCTGACGTTAAAGACTGTGATCAGCCATCAAGTCCTGGGCATCATCATAGGCAGGCAGGATATGAGGCCCAATATTCTGTCATTTGACGTGGTCTGCTCCGATGATTCTGTGGCAGAAGCACAGAACATTTGAGGAGGGGGAAAGGGATTCCTGGAAAATAAGTCACCAACAGCAGAAGGGCTGTTAAAAGGAACCGGAACTGCTAGTTTCAAACACTTTTATTTTCTGCCAAGTTCAATATAAGACCTTAGTAAAGAGTCTTATGAGCACACTTTTGTTTTCTTCCACAGACACGAAAGATCACAGCTTTGTCTCATCCCATGATTGACTATATATTGGGTTTTAGATTTTATTGCAGTAGAGATTTGAAGGATATTTGGCTGCCGAGGAGGGGGTGACTGAGTTTGACTTGTTGGATCAGGAGGGTGCTGGCCTACTGGCCCTAGAGTAATGTCCCCCTGTTCCTCCAAGCTCCTTTCTAGCTTTTGTATCGCTTTTCTATCTTCTTGGCTTTACTACTACCTACCGCCCCCTTCTGGCTGGGCATGAGCTACCCCCTTTTGCCATGATCTCCCAACCACAACGCTCACCCTTCCACACCTCCCATCACTTCTGCCATTTATATAGTCAGCCCGTCCCGCCTCCTCTTCCAACACCACCCTCAGAGCCTGCCCCTCCCGCCCTGCTGTCCTTATCCTCCACGGACTTGTCGCTCAAGGCCCAGAAGTCCACACGCCGAGCTTGCAGGCAGCCGCGGCTCCACTCTAGCTCCTGCCGCACCTTCGGCCCTAGCAACGAGATCCTTCCGAGCTCGCTCGGCTCTTTCCGCCCGATCGCGCATTGCTCGCCGGGTCACGCAGCTTTCACCTCCTTTGCCGCCCACGCGCTCAGGACTCCGCAGGCTCCTTGCAGCTCGGTCGCTTAGCCTCCGGCTCCCTGCGATTCCATGTTTCAGGCCGACACCGAGGCGCCGCCCTCTCCAGCAGCACAGGAGACGCCACAGCCCGCAGGGCCCTCCGACCGCTCGCCGACCACCATGGCCCCTCAGCAAACAGGTAGCAGGAAGCGGAAAGCCGCCGAGGCAGAGGAGGGCGCGGGGTGCTCTTCGTCGCCAGGCCCCTCAGCGGCGATGGCGACAGCCGAAGCAGGCCAAGCCGAGGGGTCGCTGCTGCTGGTCAAGAGGCCGCGGCGGCCCGTGGTTCGCAGTTCCTTGGTGCACTACCTGAAGGGCCGGGCGCTGGGCTATGAGGGCCACCCGGGGCTGGCGGGCTTCGAGGGCGACCTGCGCAGCTACGGGGTCCTCAGGCTGCCGGAGCTGCTGAGGGAGCGCCAGCTGGCGCTTGGCCCCCTCAACAAGGTGTTCGCATCGCAGTGGCTAAATGCCAGGCAGGTGGTGTGTGGCACCAAGTGCAACACGCTTTTTGTGGTCGATGTCAAGACCGACCACATCATGCGCATTCCTCTGATGCGCGACAGGGTGCCCGACCTCTCCGGTGGCTCGCCATCCTGTGGCATTCATGCTGTGGAGCTGAATCCCTCCAAGACCCTCATGGCCACCGGAGGGGAAAACCCCAACAGCCTGGCAGTCTACCAGCTGCCCACGCTGGATCCCGTGTGCCTAGGAGATTGCCAAGGCCACAGGGACTGGATCTTCGCCATCGCATGGATGAGTGACACTGTGGCTGTGAGTGGTTCCCGCGACGGCACCGTGGCACTCTGGCAGGTGGATCCCGACATGTTCAATGGCAGCATTGCTTGGCACAAGGATGCGGGCCTTCCAGTGTATGCTCACATCCGTCCTACAGATATGGAGGCCATCCCCAAAGCCACTACCAATCCTAGTAACCGCAAAGTTCGAGCCCTTGCGTACAGCAACAAAAACCAGGAGCTGGGAGCCGTGTCTCTGGATGGCTACTTCCACCTGTGGAAAGCCCGAAGCTCCCTGTCCAGGCTGCTGACCCTAAGGCTGCCCTACTGCAGGGAGAACGTGTGTCTCACCTACTGTGATGAGTTGTCCCTCTATGCTGTGGGATCCCAGTCTCATGTTTCATTCCTGGATCTTCGCCAAGGCCAGCAGAATATCCCACCACTCTGCTCCCGAGAGGGAGGCACTGGTGTGCGTTCCCTGAGTGTCCACCAGCATATTGTCACCGTGGGAACAGGCCACGGTTCTCTGCTCTTCTATGACATCCGTGCCCAGAAGTTCCTCGAGGAAAGATCTGCAGCTGGTCCAGACATGTTTCCTGTGCCTTCTGGAAGGAAGCTCAAGCTCACCTGTGGCAGCGGCTGGATCAACCAGGATGATTTCTTAGAGAATTACGTTGCCGGTGTAGAGGATTTCCCCAACGCACTCTACACTCACTGCTACAACTGGCCAGAGATGAAGCTCTTCGTGGGTGGGGGCCCACTGGCCTCAGGCCTCCATGGCAACTATGCAGGCCTCTGGAGCTAAGGTTAGCTGAACTCCTCACAGTATGCATTTATCTTTCAGTTCAATCTAACTGAACATCATTTTCGTTTTCCACATGCTGCTTTAACTCTGTCTCTCTTTTTTTTCTTTTTTTTTTCTTTCAGGTGGAGCGGGCCCTGATTAACCAGTGTACTTCTTAGCAGAAGACAGGGGAAGACAGATGGAGCTGACAGAAGTCGCTTTGAGAAATTTTCTGCACCATTCTTTGAACTGTTCATAGAAATACTTTCCACTGATTCTTAGCTGTATTGTCTTTGAGTGAGTGATCCATATAGTCTATATGTGGAAGAAAACCCCCGTTGTAATGTTAGACTTGTGTATGTGTTGTGTTATTTTGCTATTAGCTGGTTTAAAGATACTGCTTTTAGTTTTCATCACGTATGTGTGATATACTAACAAGATTTTCTAATAAACAGAGTTTAGACATCTCTTCTGGAGCGCTAACCATAGTTTTACGGCATTGTTCCAATTTTAAAATACATTCCATGTTCCAGATTGCCTACTTTTGGAAAAATGTCACTCATGAACTGTGATTATGGTGTATATAGTTTGTATGTTGTTGGTGCAAAACGCACTTTTCTAAAAAGTTTATTATCTGAAAATAGTTGTCATAGAATCTTGTGTATCTATCAGAATCTCAGTTGATGAGGACGGTTTAGGTATTCAAGTGTTCAAATGTTCTGCTAATTTGAACTTTCAAAATTAATCCAAAAATCAGTATTTTTCTTTCAAGCCTTATTTTAGTTTTATGCTCTGTCTTCTTATTGATCAAAGAATGTACTTGTTTTCACTTCTTGCCTTAGTACTATCAAGACTTGTGGATATATTTGAATGTTTGTGGTTGGAGTAACTTACACAGAGTTTCAGTGCCATCATTCGATGCAGGGATATTAAGTATAAATGTAGAATGTATGGCAGAGAGGGCAGAAAATACACTGCTCTAAGGTATAGACTGGATATTTTTGCTGTTGCTATTTTTCTTACCAAATGTTATATTTGAACATATTTTAAACTTTCAAATATCTGCCTATAAGTTAAGTTAAAAGAAAAAATGCAAAGAAAGAAAATGAGCCCATCCAGCTCACTGTGAAAGAAACACCCCCTCTTTATAAGCTCCAAATTAATTAGATTTTATTTTGTGAACTTCAAAGAATCATACTAAAAAGTGGAATATGTGTGTTACTAAAGCCTCTCATTCTATGCCTCTAAATGTAATAATATGTGATTGTGACAATGCAGTATGATTTTCCAATAGAGGAGCTGGGGATTAAAAAAGATAGGTATGATTGAAGAACTTTGCCATTCAGATTAATAGAGGTAGTGAGATGGTATACAGGTGTATTGAACTTTTTCTTAGGTAATAATACTTAAAGTGATAAAGCAGCCAGGCCTTCCTCAAAACTGGCCAGGATACGTTAGCTGAGGATTGGTATCGAGCCATGTTTCCTTTTCCTTAAACATCTGACATGTATCTTGCATTGGTGTTGATAAACTATGTGCTGTTCAGTACCAAACCTAAATTGCTGAAAAAAATTAATTGTGAGTTAGATATACAAAATAGTCAAATGTTTGTTTCTAGAGATTATGCAGGTTCATTCTGCAAATTATACCGTTTTGCTACATATCTGTGGAGTTCTTTTGCTTGCATGTATGGTTCCAACTCTGTTATAAGTAATTTGAGAGCAGAGATTGTAAACTGCCATCTTTTATTTCTTTATTTGTGTACTAAGGCCGAACAAAGGCAATCAGTTATTATTTACTGATCTTTTTTTTTTTGCCAATGAAAACCTGCACTTCAAATTGTAATAAATATTTGCTGTTGCATAATAAAGAACCTTGCTGTGTGATTCCCTCTCCTGTTTTTCTTTAAATTTTCCCTAATTCATTTTCAGGGCATGTTGTAGAACTCCATCCATTCATAAATAAGGTAATATGTGATACTTAGAAGATGAAAAAAAATTTTAACTTTTCATATGTAATTGAATATTAATCCTTTAAAATAAAAAATTTAGATTTGAAGATTTCTTTAAACAATTGGTTTATTTTACCAGAAATATATTTGAAAATTTTCAAATATAGGTTTTTAATTGAGAAATAATTTATATGGTAATTAATTTGAAAAAAAATCTAATTATTTGCTGCCTATTTTCTTATAATTAGTAGGGTATTGGGGGGTTCAATAGAAATAAGTTTGGAAATACAGAAAAAATTCTTCCATATTGGATGAGATTTAAAATAAACAATATAAACAATAGAAGGTAAAGATTTAGTCTGAATTCTTCTGTGACTTGGTTCCTTTTTCTTCATGTAGAGTGTTTTGGTTTTTTTGTTTTTTTTGGGGGGGGGAATGGGAAAAGGGGAGAAGGGAGGGGTGACCAGCTTCTAGGGATAGAAGTAGCAGAAGAGAAGAGAGAGGCAGAGACAGGTGGGGGTAGGGAGGGAGGGAGAGAGAGAAAGAGAGAGAGAGAGAGAGAGAGAGGAAAAAGGGAACAAACAAACGTAGTGAATGTGCACAGAAGATGCTCTACGTGGCTGCAGCTGAGGACATATCCTGTGAGAATGCCAAGATCAGGACAGTACAGATGCCTGAATACTAACAGGCTAGCCTGGGACTAGTTACTAGGCAAGCCTTAAACTCATTGTCTATCTCTACCTCCAGAGTGCTAGAACTAAAGGTATGTATCACTAAACCTGGCATAAATAAACCTCTATAAGAAATAAAAGGTGTCATTTATGTTTCTGGGGACAAATTAGGAGGGGAGGTAGACACAAATACTATAACTTCATTAAATGAAAATTGAATTACTGTTTAGCTGTTATGAGTGCCTATATGACTATGTTTATATTACACTCATAATCAGAGCATATTCAGGTGACAAATTCTCTAAAAATCTAATATATACAGCTTTTCAGAGTTCCTTGAACCTGGGCATGGTGGTGCTTGCCTTTAATCCTAGCAATTGGGCAGCAGAGGCAGAGACAGGCAGATCTCTGAGTTCCGGGACAGGCTAGTCTACAGAGTGAGTTCCAAAACAGCCAGAGCTACACAGAAAAACCCTGTCTCAGACAAAGGAAAATAAAAACATTTTCAGTGTTAACATAATCACCAGCTCACTTTAAATTTATGATGTTATATGGTATATACCTTTCAGAAGACAATCACAAGATTTGGCTAAGTTTTAATAGCTAAACAGCCTAATTGTGATTGTATTTCAATTTTAGAAAGTTGTAATAATTTTTAAATTATTAAATTCTGAACATAAGTGTCTATTACAGTACATACATAAACTGTGAATTTTGAAATATATATTTATTCTTTACAGTTTTCATACTTATACAAAACATGTTTTGATCAAATCTACCATCCCTGCACGCTGCTTCAACTTTTCCAGAATTAGAAATCCTTCTCACTATATTTCTCTATAAACTTCATGTCCTCTAATTTCAGACCATTGAATGTAATTCCTCCTGCCAATATGTATCAGAGTGTAGGACCAACTTCTGGAGCTGTAGTTCTCAACCTCTGAGTTATGGCTCCCTTGGGGGTTGTATTTTAAACATCCTGCTCTCAGATATTTTTATTATGATTCATAGCAATAGTATAATTACAGTTATGAAGTAGCAATGAAATAACTTTATGGGTGTGGGGGGTGGTCACCACAATATGAGGAACTGTGTCAAAGGTACACAGAAATAGGAAGGTTGAGAGTCACCTACTAGGAGTCTCAGCCCTGGAGAAAACTGGCTTTTCAATCCCCAAAAGTCCTTTGCTATCAAAAACTTCTCAACTACATGTGGGGCTTTGTGAGCGACCCCTCAAAACTACCAACCTAATAAGAAACTGTTAAGCACAGTCCACTTTAAATCTAAAATGTTTGAGTTACCTATCATTGCTATGTTAAAAACTACCGATGACTACTCATTTATTTACTCCTGCAAGCATATTTCTGACTTAAATGTTTATTTTCCTGTGCTTTATTCTTTGAAATGAATTGACTTCTATAATGCTTAAAGTAGAAGAAAAGATCTTTTAAAATAAACATATCCACTGAGGGTCTGAGAAAATGACTTGGTGGGTAAAATATTGTTCTGTAAGCATGAGGACTTGCATTTGGAACCTTAGAATTCACAGAAAAATCCAGACACATGAATGTGTATTCTGTTGCTGGAGGTCAGAAAAGGACAGGTCCTAAAGCCTTGCTGACGAGCCTATTCAAAAAAGATAGCTACTGGTTTCAAGGTAAATTGCAATAGAGGAAATGACCAAATGTCTTGCTCTGGCCTCCACATACATTAGCAAGTACCAACACATTCATAAATATACACCATATATATGCACTGTACATACAACACACGCACACGCACATGCACACACACACACACACGCACGCGCGCGCGCACACACACACACACACACACACACCACAAAAGCCAGTGAAAGAAATTAAAGTTCCTCATCTAGCAAAAACACACGTGTTAAATTTAAGCACTAATGATGAACAAAATTTAATTCTCCAGGGGTTGATTTTTCTCTGCCTATACTTAATGGTGAGCCAGTTGTCAAAAACATTCAGTTCATTACTAATTTAGAGTGATTTTAGAAAACAATTCACCAAACCTTTCTGGATGATTTTCTCGGAGCTTTGCAATCTCTGCAAGCATGTAACCTAGCTCCATTAAGCATGTCCCCATGTGAGCAGCTCAGGGACACAGTTCAGCCAGCAAGAACATTTTGTGCTAATAGGAAAGGGAGAATAGAGATGATGGCACAAGCCATAAGTGTTTGCTTTCAGGGATATTATTTTTAAATCTTCTCAAAGGGGTACCTAGAAGTACTTATCACCACTAGCCTTATTAAAAATCCAGAGACATCGAGCTTTTGAGTTTGACATCAGTGAAAGGGCAGGGTGTTTTTAAGGTGAGGACTGCCACAAATAAGACGCGTACTAAATCAGAGCTCTTTAAATGTTGTTCATTTTATAGAGGCAGTGATCATTATTATCTAGGTCTTTTCTCTGTTTTTTTCCTTATGATTCTGTGACATCATTTACAGAGCTAAGTCCTTATTTGAGCTTCTCCTGTGATTTTTATGGTCTTTATTATTACACTTACCAGATTATAATGGAGTAATTACATGAAAGCCTTAAATACACTTCACCTCCCACTGAATATGAACTTTGTCATTCTGACACCTAATATAATATGCAGAATATATGAGGTGCTGAGATATCCAATAAAATATCAGTTATAAGACATAAATAATAATACTTATATTGTTATTGTTGTTGTATATTTGAGATCCTGGGCATTAAACCTAGGGTCTTGCACTTGCTATAAAAGTGTTTTATCATTGAGTTAGATCCATCTCCAAGAACTATATTAACTTTTTATACCTGGCAAAGGTCTTATTAAGTTGTCCAGTAGGCTTGAAACTTATTTTTTTTTCCTTAAAATTGAAATCCTCCTGCCTCAATACTTGAGAAGCTGATAATAGAGGTCTTTTTCACAAGGCCTAACTCATAAATTATTTTGAGAGAATATTGATCAGTGTTCAATGGTCAATAATGGGAAAAGTTTGATAGTTAGAAACAGTATAAAACAAGGTACAAGTTGATTATGCTGATTTTATCAATGAATAATGTGGCTAGTCTGCTGATTAATCATTGTATCTTGTTTTTTTCCCCCAGAGATAATAATTGATTTGGGATACCAAAGTGAAATAAAATGTGAATTATTATAAAACCATAAAAATGCAGATTTGAGCCTTCTTGATGTTGGCCACTTATTGAATCATCATAAATGTCTAAATTTTCTAAACTTGTGTTTTAATTACTAAAACTCTCCATAATCTTACATTTTGGTTAATACATATAGGCATATTAATTATTTTCCTTTCTGGGTACCAATTAATTTTGGTAGAGGAATATGTATTTTTACTTGATTATTTAAATAGTTTATGTCCAATTTGGAAAATTAGACATAAAATGCTGTAGGAGGTTTTTCTTTCTATGTGTTGCTTGTATTGGTTAATGAATAAAGAAACTACATTGGCCTAGTTGATAGGGCAAAACTTAGGTAGGCGGAGAGGACAGAACTCAATCTGGGGAGGAAGAAACGTGAAGACACAGAGAGATACCATGGAGCCACCAGAGACAGATATGCCAAATCTTTCCTAGTAAGCCACTGCCAGGTGGCAATACACAAATTAATAGAAATGAGTTAAACTAGATGTAAGAGTAGCCAATAAGAAGTTAGAGCTAATGGGCCAAGCAGTAAATTAATGAATACAGTTTCTGTGTGGTTATTTCGGGGCTAAGCTACCTGGGTGACCAGGATGAACAAGCCAGCCCTCCTCCTCCTGAAGCAATTGGTGCCAATGTGATGGACTAAATCCACTTAAACACCTGAGAGAGATTAATTTTAAACACAAAAATACAGTTTAACACAGCTTTTTGCTGTTTGCTGGTGGCATGATGCAGCATCTTTAGGAGAGATTTTCCTGACTCAGCAGCAACAAAAAGGAAAAAAAAGCAGTGCAGTTTTAAAATGCCGGCTTTCTGGGCTATGCTGCTAGAGCAATCTCTGGCTCTTGCAGGAGACAGAGCATTTGGATGGGGTTTGTGAGTAAAGTGTGACAGCAGCTTTCTTGATGGCAATGTGGTCTCGCTGTGTGCCTGGAAGTGGGGCTGTGTGTGGGGCTCAGAAGCACAAGCGGCTCCACCATGCTGAACTGTGCAGAGCACAAGTGCACTGAGCAGGAACTACTGTATTTATTATAATACAAGCACAGCTAAAATTTTAGACTGTGCAAACAGGAATTGTCATTTTACTCCTACTAATGGCACAA